TAAAGACGATTCGAATAATGGTCCACAGCATCAATAAATGGCGAGTTATTGTAAGATTATGGTAAACCAAAATATCTTAATTATCAGTGGTTCTAATTACATTTCATTAGACTCACCTCATTGAGAGAATTCGAATGATAGTTGTTTTATCCAAAGTAGCCAGATATTGACCAAGTTATGAGGATTTGAGGCTTTGATTGATTTTCTGTATGTTCAGCTTGTTGTATGATGTAATTTCAACCATTTCGACTACTTTGATCTCCCAGGTCGAAATATTTCGACTTTTGTAGTTTGGGTTTCAATTTCGACTCCATGTATAGTTTGGTCATCACTCTGGTAAAAAAATGGGTGTTGTATTAAAAAGATTATATAATTCCCGTGATAAAATTTTATACATTTTAAAAGAGGTAAATAAAAAAAAAAGCTTAATATTAATGTTGATTAATTATCTCTTTAAACGAAATTCCGTTGTAGACATGAATATAAATTTGAAATTTGAAATTTGCTTTCATAAATCAAAAAGATACAAAATAATTGTAAAAAACGTTAATTTCCGCTGATCAACGATAGTAATAGAAACTCGCTAAAATTTAAAAAGTGACAAAAGTTGCATATTATGAAATTTTGTACTTTCGTTATGCAAAGTCACACGAAATCATGCAGCTTTGTAGATAGGAACTTGGTTTTGGGCAGCTGTGGATTCCACGTAAAATACATATATGAATTTTATGAAAAAATCAATAGAATTGCAACATTACAAAAAAAAAATGTAGCTAGTTTTAATAGTAATTCTCAACTATGTTTATGAATAAATAATGAATTTTATTATTTTAAATTCAAAAAAAACTTATTACAAATTAGTCATTGTTGTTAATTCAGTCTTGCATGTTGCAGAATAACAAGTTATCCAACTTTGTATAGCATTCATTACCTGTATGAAAAAAAACCTTGCAAAATGGTAATTATTTTTAGAAAATTTTGTCCCGCCTTCATCCTTTTTCAAATCGTCTATAGAAATTATTTATTAATAAAATTATTTCAATAAGTTTTTTTTATTGGGTTAATAAGGAAAAATAAATACAATAGCTGATATATCCGGTGGCTGTCAGAAAGTCAATATGCTAGATCTTTACTTAACATTGGTAAAAGATTTTCTCCAGAACAAATTCAAAAAATTATCAAAAGCAAAAGCAACTAAACCTCATCCACAAACTTTTATTCATGTAACTTTTTACAATATACTTTTACTATTTAGGAAAATTGTTTTCCGATTCAAATTGGCAATATAATGTAAATCAAAAAGTCTATAATGATCATTATTATTATTATATTTCTAAAAATCTGAAACGGGTTTTTTTAATTTATTAAAGAATTTTTAATTTAAAAATATTTTTTAAAATTAATGGACAATTTAATAAGTTTGATATCCCGGATCTGCATAACAAATTTCTATCATTGATCGCCGGACCACCAATTAAGAATGCTGAAATTACCCGGGAGTGTTATATAGATAAACCTGTTGAGTTCAATAATCCAACTTATACCTATCTTAATTTAATTGTTGATCGTGCATTTACTGATCCAAATACAGAAAAAAATTCCATTGCATTTGGAATGTCAGTTACATTAAATTATCTAGATCCTTCAAAAGACATCAAATTGGTTCAAAACGAAGTTGCGGAGCGAATGAATCCATTTCTTGAAATGATGCGAGTTGCGGAACAAGAAGAACGATCTACTTAGAATATATATAAATACAAAATATTATATAGTATTTTATAATTAGTGTATAATATAATATAAAAATCATAATAAATTTATTTGCTTTATTTGTTCTTAAATATATATTATAAAATCAATACTATTAAAAAGGAATATATTGTGAGTATTTAAATTTTAAGCATTTTAATTGTATTTAATTTTAATATTATACACAATCTATAATGACAACAAATTGTTGATGATATTTATATTCGATACATAAAACATAAATAAATATTATTTAATATTTTAGTAATATATAATTGTGATGATAATATAATTTTTTTTTAGCAAAAGAAAACTATAAAAAAGAAAAAGAAATTGATGACAAGGAGTAGGATAAGACAACAATGGTGAATATATAGTTGCGAATATGGAGGAAAGAGATAATGACAATTTGAAATTATATGTAGTTGTGAAGGAAAGGGATAATGAAAATTTGATAAATTATAATAACAAGTAATAATTAAACAATATTAAAATCTTCCAAACCAAAAAGGACACTTTCTGTTGACATTACGTGAGTGATTTACAAGCATATTAAAACTTGGTGTAAATAAAGTTTCACATTTAAACGATGCTTTTTCAGTTCCTTGTTTTGGATTGCATAACTTGTCAAAAAAATCAACAAATGATTTTTCAAAAATTTCGCACACCATAAGCAAAGTTTCTAAGTCATTGATGAGATGTGATATTTCCTTTACTGAAGCAGGAATCAAAACTTGTCCAACATTGTACATGAAATATAATCCTTTGGAACTAAGTTCCATTATGTAAAAATCGATTTTGAATTCTACAAAATAAATAGCAAATTTTATAAGTTACAGTTACATGGGAAAAAACAATTATCATGTTTTTTGACTTACCAATACTTTAATATCTGCGCCTTTATCTACAGCTGAATCAATACAATCTTTCATAAAAATCCCTACACGAGTTGAATCATTGCAATTTTTAAATACATTTCCTTTCTCTGCAGAAGAAGTAACTTCTCCAACGAATAAGACTCCATTTGTTTGTAATTGATGAATTGCAGATACCGTAAGTCGGGTTGCTTTGCTCTACCTTTCAGCTTTCGTGCTTTGCTTTCTTTGAGGCCCGTGTTGGGCCATTCAACCGTATGTTTGTTAGGTTTGTGGAAAAACCCTTTCATTATGTAATCTAAATAGTTCGTAATTTGCTCGGTTGATTTTTAGTTTTGAACTGGGTAACATTTTAATCCTTCTAAAATTATAAACCTTACATTTCTTGCTGACCTATTTTTAGGATCTGCCAAGTATATTTAAAAGAGTATCGGTTGCACACTCACACGACTCATTAATTGATTGTTTTAAATTTGGATTCATGTTCTGGATCTAACTCTGGTTTATTCTTTGGAGAAAGTTGTTTATATACTCTATCTAGGGTTGTTAATAGAACATAATGGGTTGGGTTTATATTATAGTGGAGCAAGGTTAACCTAACCCAACCCGGGTTAAATGTACTGGGTTAATACTCCATGGGTTCTCCGGGTTGCTCCATGGAGTAATAATTATAATTATAATTCTCATTTAAAGTAAAAAAAAATTATACCGATTTTTACATATTATACAAATATATGTAATTCTTTTGAAAAAAATTCCCAAACCCAAGAAGTTTCGCGTGAAGTGTTTGATGAATTAGATTCATTTTCTTGTATAGTATTAGTTGTACTTGTAG